AGCAGCAGGCAGTGGGAAAGATGCAGGAAGGTCAGCGGTGTGACTGGGTGCAGACGTCATGATTTCACAGGTTGTCAATTCATCACCAGAACTCCCCATGGAGGCACCTGGGGCCAAAGGAGCAGAGCTGCCCTCCTCCCACAGCCTGCTCCTCTCACATCCCAGAGTCACACACAGACACTGAGAGCAAACTGGTTTATTCTCTACTTTCAGCAGATGCAGTTATGCTCAAAGATGCTGCCCTACCAGAGAAAACAACAGGTTCAGAACTAACAGAGGCAGGCTTGTGTCAGCCTGTGCTGGCTGATCCCAGCAAAGGAGGAAGGGCAGCACCAGTTTTGCCTTTTTGTAATTTTTTTTTATAGCTAATAGTGAAAGAGAAAGATGCATCTGTCAGAGTCACAATAGAGCACTTGGCCTGTAACCCGCATTTCTAACTTGGGAGCGAGCACACCCACGATGGGAGCTGCTCAGAAGTTTCACTCCACCATTTAGAAGCTTCTGGTGCTCAAGAAATATTGAGCTGAAAATGACTGCCGTGACTCAGAAGCAACAACCTGAGATCACCCTGGTCAGTCACCTGCCTGCATTCCACTGCCTACTGGCAGTAACGAGAACAGAGTGAGTTCTCTGCTCCAGCCAGAAGACAAGGGCTGACCGAGTGCCTGTTTGCCTTCACAGTGACTGGGGCTAGCCTAGCTAGTTCACACCATTATTGGCTCACACTAAGGAGACTTAAATTGTCACTTAGTTACAAAAAGAACAAAAGCAAGAAGAGATTGAGGCAAAATGGGGACCTTCTGCAGCATCAATTGGATTCACACGGCCACAGCCTGCAGCAGCACATGGCCACTTATGTGGGAGGTCCCTTAACCACAGGTGGGATCCCAGTGATCAGATTCCATCTGAGGGACAAATAGAGCAGGTTGTGCAATTAATCACCTGCATTTGAAAACTCGGCTTTTTAAGTAACACAACAATCCTTTTGTTTAACACAAGCAGACAAGTAATTATAGCCTAACCAGTACTATTGCTGTGTTCAAAGTGTAAAAGAATACACAGGCTTCCCAATGGCTTGGCACATCGCACTCATGTTCTGTTACATGGCTGTGCTGCTCAAAGAAACCTTCCAGGACCAGGACAGGAAAGGCGTTGGGCAGATCATCTGCTGCTGTGTACAAGTGCAGGACTTGACAGAGTCACAGAACAGCCTGGGTTGAAAAGGACAGCAATGATCATCAAGTTTCCACCTCCTGCTGTGTGCAGGTCGCCAACCAGCAGACCGGGCTGCCCAGAGCCACATCCAGCCTGGCCTTGGATGCCTGCAGGGATGGGGCATCCACAGCCTCCTTGGGCAGCCTGTTCCAGTGACCTGCAGAAAAATATGCTGAGTTTATCAATCCAGCAGCACTCAAACCTCAGAAGCTGCGCACAGAAGTATAAAATGACTGTTACGTGGAATTACCACTGCTATTAACTGAATCCACATACAACAACTTATTACCTCTGATTGGAATCGGAGCAGATGAGGTTATCAGTCTCCTTTTTGCAAAGGCAGTGCTTTGAGCCAACTGGTAGTGGCCCAAATGGAAAAAGAACATAATTGCAATCAAACAGTGCAAAACCCCAAAACGGTGCAGAGAGCCTCTCCTGTTGTGTGGCATTCTGGAACATGAGAGATGCTTCTGGCACAGGTTGGCACCAAGATGAGCCATTTCTCTCAGCTCTTCTTTGCTTGCTGTGAAAAATAATGATCTGTTGATCTTGGTTTGTCATTCAAACTGTGTACCCACTAAGTCAGCATCTGTCTCCTTAGCAGATCTTTTTTGATGTTTGCCAACTGTCAGAACAGAAGAGAAACAATAACTCCAAAAAAAAAAAAAAAACCACAAAAAAACAACAAACCCTCCCAGAAATGCTTTTAAAATGACATTTGTCAAAAAGCCCTGACAATAACACGCTCATTTCAGCACTCATCCACAACGATACCATGGCCATGTTCGTGTCCACATAAAAAAAATCAGAACTGTATACTGACTTCCCAGAGCAGGTAGCAGCAGTCAGTAATGAAATGGGCTCAGGGTGAGGGCTGTGTGCTGCTGCTCAGCAGATGAAATTGGTTCATAGAAAAAAAATTAACAGAACCATTGGTGCTTTCAGAATGCAAAGGCCTTCTTACATTTTGGAAAGCAGAGTCTAAGGTGTCTACGAAAGAATGTTCTTCACAAACCAAGGGACAGCCTGCACACTTTGAGAGCTAAGGCTGATTCCCACAATTACACTCCATTTTCCCATCCAAACTCATCCCTTGCTTAATTAATGCAGCCCATTAAGCACTGAAAGCAAAGAGATTGTTGCTGTTAATCGGTCAGCATCAGAAATCTCTCCAAGCAGGCTTTTAATTTTACACTGAACTCTTTCAGTGCCTTCTCTCCAAAGTTTGCAATCCCAAATGAAAGGCTCCCAGCTGAGGATCACAGTGCCTGTCCGTGCCAAAGGAAACCGGCAGCAGTTGGCCAAAGCTGTACGAGAAAGCAGAAACAGGCTCCAGTGGGGGAACAGCAGGGGACACGACAGCAGACTTAGAGCACCAGCTGACGTGTGTTTTTGGGTGGAGATGGAAAAGTTTGGGGAGCAATTGATTTGGGAGAAGTTGCTAAAAGCTGTGAGACGAGCCCACAAGTGATGTCAGTGTGGGCTTCCTCGTGCTTTTCTGCCCTGCATCTGGCCTATCCGCAGTGGCACATCAATGCACGTTAACAGGTTCTGCGCGGTGCAGCTGGAGAGGGGAAGGAGCCAGGAAATCTGTCCTCTCCTGGGCAGGCCCTGGCTCTCCAACAAAGCAGAGCAGGGGCTGGCGAGGCTGTGAATTGGCCCTCTGTGCCCAGCTGCCCTCACACACACACTCACACATTCACTCGGCTGCCAGCTACTGCGGTGGCACCAGAGAAAAGTGAAGGGAAGCTTTTATGCTCTTTGCAGTTCAGCCAGTGCCCTGAAAGAGGCAGACAGATCCCCAAACATGGCTTCTGTGCGCAGGGCAGAGATGAATAGCTCAGGAAGCACTTCCACAGCCCAGGCCTGAAAACCACAGCCTCTGCCAGAACTGCCAGCAACGATCTCCAGCCCGAAACATCTCACCCTGGAGCAGAAATCCCAGTTCGCTGACAGCCTTGGTTAGCTACACAGGATCATTAAAGCCACCCTAAAGACACTGACCGCTTATTTAGCGTGAACTCTCAGTTCTGGTGAGAAAATGAAGGTACCCGATTTGGGAGCAGGTTTATCCTCAGCTCCCCATCCACAGGCTGGACAGCTTCCCCACCATCCATCCCCTCCAGCCACCGCTGTGTCCCAGCAGGAGCAGAGGAGCACACAGAACCCGCTCATTGATCAGAGACCTTTGGCTGCTTATGGAGGTGCAGAGGGCAGAATGGCACATGGTGCCCTGCAGCTCTTGCTCCACGGAAAGCCTAGGGTAGAACATCCCTCAAATGCATGGAAGCAGTCCTCTGTGCCTTGTAACCTGGTCCTGGAGAGAGGTGCTTCCATGCTAGGCAGGAAGGTTGTGGTTACAAAGGTGAAGGAGAGGGAAGAAAGAAATTAATGCAGTTGTAAGAAAACAGAGGAATTTGCCAGCACTGACTCCCCTCATAGTTTGCCCCTACAATAAATAAGGCTTTGTTAGACAGAAACAACACCCTTGCAAGTTCTTTGCTTCTGGATGACCCACAGTCAGACATACAAGCACTCATGTAAGTGCTATTTACAAGCACTGCCACGCTTGTCAAAAGATGAATTTGCATGCTCCAGACACATAATACCGGTAACAAAAAGATTATACATCCCTGTCAAAAGAGAAGAATGAGTAACTACTGACTCCAGTGGCCGCTGATCCCAGAGAACATAACTAACTTGAGCAGAATCTGCATAAATGGGCACTGGGCACTGAAGAAAATGAACGTACACATGGCCAGCACAAGATCCTTACCTACCCTGGCTGACTTCTGTGTGTCACACTGTGACACGTGGGCACCAATTGTGTTTTCCAGAACCAGATTTAAATTCATGCCTTATCACCACACGTGGTCCTAAGGAATGAAGCAATAGCTGCTGACAATGCTAAGACACCCATCGCTACCAGTCAGTAAGCCTTACTTTTCCAACCTTTTTGGAGATTCCATTGGTAACTTCTGCCCTGAGCTTGCTGATGGCTTTCTTTCCCTTTGGCTGCTCTGAGTATTTATTTTTGGAGCAAAAGTTTTCATCTGCTTGGAGTGTTATTATTTACAGCAATCAATATTGCCACAGAAAGCAAATGGTTACCTCACATGTACTCACTGACAAGAAAACTGAAGCAAATTCAACATTTTGGGTGACACAGACTTTCTGAACGCCTTACTCCAAATATAAGCTGAATGATGTAATTTCTCAGCAATGAAGTATTTATGTGACCAGCTGAGAAGGCATCTCCCCTTATTTCTGACTCGTGCTGACCGGAGGCTGTACATAACACTGGCATGAAGGAGAAAGCATGTCCAGCACACAGCACTCTTAGTATGGTTATGGACAAGGATTCTGGAGGCCAGAAAGCCCTGCGTACAACTCCTGCCTTCTCCTCTGACCATAAAAGTACTCGATCCGCTTTCATCTTCTAATGACTGGTCCAACTTCTGTTCCATGACATCACAACTCATTGCTCAGACCATAATTCTGTCACACAGCATGGATTTATCACTGCAGTTTCAAATAATGGCACGTGTATTTATGTAGTAGCTACTGACATTTCAGAAATGCTTCTTTCCTTACGTAAAAATTATTTATTAATCATTTTACCTCTGGCTGGTTGGCCTCCTCCCTGCCAGCACATGCCTTCTTGAAACCTCTCTTCAATGCTACACTGGAAATCACACCCCACACTGCTGGCATCCCCAGGACTTTGCTGGTAATGCTGGTTAACTCACGTGGTGAAGTAAGAACTTCTCCTCAGAAGTATTTGTCGTGATGATATCGCAGTGACAATCTTTAAACTCACCTGGAAAAACAACACATGCATGTTTACTACATTATGAATTCAATTCATTACTGCATATCAATGCTTCTCTTTCTCTAACAAATGAGCAGCCTCAAGAAATCAGTGAGACTTTCTATTTAACATTAGGATCACCTTTACCTTGACGAATCTGATGAATCAGATCTAAACGTTTCCTCATCAGACAGACACAGAATACACATGCAATAGACCAAACAGTGGAGGAAAAAATGAAAAGGCTACAGTTTTATCCACACCTGTAGCATTATTTACTACATTACACACTGCTCCTTTAACATATAGCACTTAGTGCAATAGGGTGCTGGCTCCAGCTGGGATTCTGGGACAGTGCAGCTTGAAGTGAAAAAGCAAAACCAGGGAAAAAAAAGTCTGAAGTGGAGAGAAACAAGTGCTGTTTCTCAGCTCTCACTGTGGCAGCAAGGAAGTTAATAAAGCTGCCAATAAAACTGGCAGCCACATGCACACACCGACCTGCTATTAAAGGAGCAGAAAATACCAACTTTTCTATAGAATTTTTGAAAGCTCAACAATAGTCCTGATAAAGTTACATACTTGCTATATAATTGCATTAGAGAGCCCAGAGAAAGGTCTTACTTTTGTGCCATGCTCTATTATGTCTTTAAATAGCCTGCCACAGGTTTTGCAGCTGTATTCGGCTCTCCAGGACTTTTCCAAAAGGTTGTCCAGAACTGGAAGCTTCTACACACATAAAAAAAGGACAGCAGACTCACATGAGTGACCCCCATCAGGTAAAGCCTGTGAGAAGTTCCCTGGCAGCAGTCAGTTACACATTTCCAACGAGTGCTCTCCATCAAACCACATGCACCAGTGGGCTGATGGCTGCTGGCACAGCTGCTCTATGGCAGCCAGGCAGAATGAGGGATTTTTTTCTTTTTTTTTAATATATAATTCAAAGAAGTCATGGAAACAGTACAAATATTTGGGGTATTTTCTTTCATTTGTTTTCTTCTGCTGGTATTTGTCTTGTCACATCAGGACTTGCCATTTTAGGCTCTAGCTTTCAGAAAACAGCAAACTTGTACGGAATGACCTTCCAGCTTTCTGCCTGCAGAGGACCTAGAAAGTTGCAGGCATATCCCTTTATTTCTGAAGCATACCAACCATTACACACATTAGAATTAACAAAGAGAGCCACTTCTTGCCTATTTCAGAACCCTCTGCCTATCCAACTGCTCCAGAGATGAGGAAGAACAAGATGCAGCAGCCACTGACTGTACCAAACATTGTAAGTGACCACATGCTCTGGGGACACAGATTTGGGGGATGTGCTTAATGAGGAGCAGCACATCCTGGCTGCCAGCAGGAGGTGATGCTCCCCACTCACTGACATGCTTTGAGTATGGGTCCATAGTCCCAGCAGGAGATGGACACAGACATGGACAGGTGGTGGGACTGCACCCTGCAATGAGGCAGCTCAAGGAGGTTGGGCTCAGCCAACACATCTACAGACAGGACTTGTGCTTCCTGCACTCAGGGTGCATTTGGTGAGGAACCAAAGGACAACCAGGAGCTGCTGAGTACTAAGAGAGCCTGGGAGTGAGCACATGGCAGCTCTCAGCTCCTCAGCCACGTCCTTCCAACCAGCCCCACCATTCTGCAACACCAACACAGGTTCACTACCACACACTGATCTGTACTGCTTCTAAAGCAGGCAGCCAAGGTCACAGCATTTTCTTTATTCATGCAATTCTGACTTCTCAGACAAGCAAGGCCCAACAAATGCATTTTTCCAGCATCCCGCTTCAAGCAGCCCCAAGGCATACAGCAGTGAACAGAAATTTGCCTAATTAAAGACCACTTTCTGAAAAATTTAGCCCTTGCTGCCTTGCTCAAGGTCGTACACCGAGTGGCTGCAGAACAAACAGCTCTGCGAAGCTGCAGCAGCACGAGGAGCACAAACCTCACGTAAGGGCAGCATCAGCCCTGGTGCTCAGTGCTGGCAGAACGAGGTTTTGTTTTCCAGCAAAGCTGAGTGAGGAAGCAAAAGGAAATGGCAATGGAACACGATTTTGTAATGGCTATTTTTGTTCTTAATTAGACCATTTTCTAAGAAAAAGGTTGATTGGGAGCGTGCAGCAAAATTGTTTCTAAATCTAATTCTTGTGGTTCTGCTGGATTGCTTGCTCAGATTCTAAGGTGAAATCAGTGGACTGCAAGTTTTCCTGAGGCATATTATTCACATTAAGCAGTGCCCAAAACATCTGAAACACATCCAAATTTATTTTTCTTCAGTCATACTGAACAATGGTCAAATCAGCACTGTCAACTGGTAAACAGGGAGAATGTTACCAGCATTCTCATGATTTTATGCTTTCTAACTCCTATTTAATTTACTAATTAAAAAATACAAGCGAATGAATTATTTTGTTATTCTGTTTTCTTCAAAAGCATTAAGGCACTACTGAAAATTCCTTTTTTCCATGTTAAAATACACTTCTTAACAGTACTTCACCCCAAATACCAAACATACTACTGTTTCTCTGCTTATTTCCTACCTCGTTTTTCTGAACCTATCACTCAGAATGGATTCTGCAGTGATCCAGAATCACTCAGCATGAAACAATTGGTCCAGCAAGCACCAAATCTTACATCATCACGGTGCTCTATTTAAACAGTCCTTCAGACATTTAACATACACTACGAACCCACGCTCAAAATAAAGCATGTCAGTGACTGCGGAGTTCTGGATAAGGTGAAGGATTTCAGCTAAGTAGGAAAAAATGCTCTGAACACAACAGGCAGGTTGTGGCCACTGGAAAAAAAAAATAAAATCAATATTGTTTCTCTAAGTTATCTGGGAATTGAAATAAAATCCTCTTTGGTGTTGGTTACTGATTTAATTGATATTAATAGCCCTGTGGGCTCAGTCTTTAATATACACTAAAGCCTGCTAGAATCATCACATAGTCATCAAGGATTTGCTTCTAATTTACACTTATGCTCAACAAGAATTTGCTGTGCTGCTGTCCTTAGGAATACTGATGCCAGGAAGGGATGTAGTAACAAACAATAGCTGTTCAGCATGCATCCATGCCAAGGCTGCCACAGCAAGGCCATGTGTTGCAATGAAACCTGTCATTATTGCAATTGAACCCACGGAATGACCTCCAACAGCCCCCAGGTGTAAGGAACTAGTTTGATTTCTGGAAGTGAGAATCCATTTTGTGCTCCTACTCAAAATTCTGCTGACAGTAACCCCACATCCTACCTGCAGGATCACCAGCCAGTGAGGCTGCACCGTACACAGCAGAGCACATGCACTGCCTAAGCCAGGATAATTCAGTGCTAGGAAAATCAGTGGGAGTGATGATCAAACAAGTTGTTCTACATTTTGGTTACCTCATCTACAGTCTTTTCTTCACAGAGCGTGAAATTTTAACAAAGGAATGAACTGAAGATTTACGAATCCAATACTTCTACTGAAAATATTGGGCTCTTCATCTGCAGATTCAATCAGTCTCTGCAAACTTAAAGTAAGCAAATAGTCACAGCAATAAGCAGTCTCAATTCTACTATGATTTTCTGGAGTCAATGAGCTACAATGCAAACGTTTGCCCACCAGCATGAGAAGCAGCAGCCCTGCCTGCACTGCTGGTGATGATGACTAATAGAGACCTGCCACGGGAGAATGGAGAGCACGGAATGGCAATGACTGCCACGCAGCCTTGTTCCATTTGTTTCCATTTTCAAGTAATAACACAATATAAAATTCTGTATTGTTGTTAGCTGCCAGAACAGGTGGTGTAAGGAGAAAAATAATTTAAGTACTGATTGCTATGAAAGCATGCTCCCAATCTGCAGCATTCTTCACTTTGTTCTAATGGAACGTGGAATTAGCTGACTGAGTAAACTGTGCTGCTTTGTCACTGGTATTTCCTGCTACATACCCATGTGTAGAGCATGGCTATCCTGACACTCAGGTTTGTCACAACAAGCCCTGATGACCTCTGATGATGGGGCTGAACCACACCTCCGAACATGCCCAAAATCCTTGTTTTGGATTCCTGGCTTTCCAGCTCCACACAAGTCCTTCTCAGCACCCTCACAGACCATGCACATGCAGGGATGCCCCATGAGCACCCCGGGACTCTGGTGGGATGCCAGGCTTGTGCTGCACCCATCTCCCAGCAGAGCCTTTCACGCCGAGTCCCATCAGCAACAGTAAGTGTGGGCTCAGCCTGTTCCTCAGCAGCTGTACCCGGATGAAATGAAGAATGGCCTGGATTGGACAGAACATTAAAGGTCATCTAGTTTCAATCCACTGCCATGGGCAGGGTTGCAAACCACTAGATCAGGCTGCCCAGAGCCACATCCAGCATGGCCTTTGTGATAGAACAAGGTGGAATGGTTTTAAACTGAGACAGGGGAGGCTTAGGTTGGATATTAGGAGGAAGTTTTCCATTCAGAGGGTGGTGAGGCACTGGCACAGGCTGCCCAAGGAGGCTGTGGATGCCCCATCCCTGCAGGCATTCAAGGCCAGGCTGGATGTGGCTCTGGGCAGCCTGGGCTGCTGGTTGGTGACCTGCACACAGCAGGGGTTGGAGCTGGATGAGCACTGTGCTCCTTTGCAACCCAGGCCATTCTCAGATTCTATAATGGGGCATCCACAACCTCTCCGTGCAGTCCGTGTAGCAGTACATCAATAGACTCCCCTAACACAAATTCTTTCAAGAACAACCACATTCCCTACTCCCTGCTTGAGTAACTACACACAGCCAGCTGTCAGCATTACATGTAGCTACATGTAGCTCTGGATGCCACAAAATAACCATAATTGGTTTTGGAGGGCACTGGGTCTGAAGGCTTAGTGCTACAGCCTGGGAATGGAACCTGGGCAGTACTCTGACCTCACCACTGCTCACCATCCCTGCGTGCAGCCACACTGCTGTCACAAAACAGCACCAAACCAAAGCCTGAGCTTTCGTCCTCCCCTCCATGGCACCAGTGAAACTTTCCTTGCC